AATACCTACATTATATTCATAATGTGAATATTGACATTGAAGTAGATATTTACATCAATGTGAATATTTACACCATATTCACATCATAGTTGATCACCCTGTAAATGTTGTACAGTTGTCAATATGATATTTACATCATATTCTATAATATTTCAATTTGGGGGGAAATTAGGGGTTCTATGGACATCAACAATCAACAATACCAACATTGACAGAGGGAAAAAAACAGAGAGTGAAAATAAGGGGTTCATTACAAAATGAAATCTAAAAACAACAATAATAACAAGGGCAATGTAAACATATACATTTGTGATTAGACTATATTATCATTGTTTGAAAAACAGAGGGTGGAAAGATGGTGTTTACCTTTGGTCCTCATTGTGGGTGGGACATGTAAATCGACGGCCGGTGAGAACCTAGGCAGAACAAACCCCAATCCTTTCGATGTAAACCTTCGCAGTGGTGCGTTGATGTGGAATAGCAGTGGCCGGCGATGGTTGGCGGTGGTGGACGATGGTGGTGAGGCGATGTGAAATTTAGGGTTACGGTTTGGGAATTTTTTGGTGCCAACGATGAGCTTTTTTAGGGGAATGAATGTGTTGTGGAGTGAAGAGATGGAATAGGAATGGTTGATTTTTCAGAATGGAGTATGCGCGGGAGAAATGGAAGGAGGATATTTTGGTATTACTGCACTGAATGAGACCTAATGGAATAATAAAAAATGATTTAGAAATTTTGATATAAAAATCTTGAAAATGAAATTTATGAATAAAGCTCCCTTTAAGATTAGTGATAATTTTCAGAAAGCAAAAATATTTTCAATACATATTTTTTTTAACTAAAGTATATGATTAGAAGACATTATGCACGTGCGGTTCAGACTGTACCATGCATGCCATGCCATAAAATTAACTGTCACCAGACAATCTCGCTTTCCAAATGGCATGGCGCACATGGCCATAAATACTTTCACAACTATTTATTTTTCAGTCCATAAAAATTGATGGATGTGAATGGTGATGAGAGTTGACAAATGTATTTGTGACAATGTCGACAATGAATAATTGGATTTTTTTTTAAGTAAAATAATATTTTAGAAAAATGTCACTCCGTTAATTTGAATATAGAATCTTATTTTATTAATTTTTAAATGCTTACTCATGATCACTAAATTAAGTATTTTCTCCAATCTATAAAAAAAAAACAAAAAAAAAATAGTATTTTCTAATAATTTGGTGCGCTCGTGATGAAATTGACAATCACCAATTATTGATTAGTGATTCAATTGTCACAACTTGAAAATTGCAAAATGAGAACATTAGAATGCAATTGGTGGGTGGAAGGACATGTTCAAATAAGGATTTTGTTGGACATGCCTTGTATTTTAATGGGTCCTTTTACAATTGGTGTTTCATTTTCTATTTGTAAAAATTTAAAAAGAAAAAAAAAGAAGGAAGAAAAGAAATGGAGATTTGGCCCAAATTTCCACTTTATTATGTGAATTTTTTTTTTTAAAGGTATTCTTATGATGAAATATCTGTTTTTAAAGATTTGAAAGTATGACATTGTTATCACTACAGGTTAATCGTACAACTCCACCAAAGATAGTGATTTATTTTTTTTCGAATAGCATCAGAGTATATTGTAAGGGAGATAAAAAATTATATAAATTACGACATTATTCTTCTATCATTTTGTCTTTATAATTTTAATTGGCTTGATTTTGACATTGAATTTATAATTTTGTTTTAATTTAGTTTAATTGATTATAACTCTTGGCATTTTTTTATAAAATATACGCAAATGGTTGACATGTGTCATAATTTTAAGAGGAGAATTATAAACTTTGTAATGCTCCTAAATTTACAATCCATTTATTGTTTAAAAACCATTAAATATTCCCTAAACCCATTATAAGAAAATATTAATAATGAACATAATCTTTTAAAAAAACAATTTCTTTCTCATTGAACTAATTCAAAACATTACATCTTCTATTTATAATACAAATCATAGTTCAACGGGTTAGAGAGATATCAAAACAAATATACCCTAGTGGCGTACAAGTTTCAAGGGCATTCCCTTGATTAAACCAAAGTGTGGACATCTATCCCAAAACACAAAATAGCCCTGGAGCTTCAGCAAGTAGCTTTCAATGAGCCTTCGTGCTCCATCCAAAACATCTCCACCGCCTTCTCACCTGGGCATGGTCATTCCATCAAGTCCTAAAAGTTTGGTTAGATTAGGGTAAGCAATTGTCCAGTAGAAATACTATTAATAGAGTATATAAATGAATGAAATGCATATGATCCATATCAGGGTAAAATTCTCATATTTTTCTCTTTTGAGATTTAGTGATGTTATTCAATGCACAATTTCCATCTTCAAATCTCATCATCAACCATAGGATGGTAAATATACAATGACGTCCCAACCAAGAGCGGGCACAACCATACTTTTTTCTTTTTTGATCAGCAAAATGAAACTTTATTGATGAAGAAAGCAAAAACATGCGAATAACTTACATCAGCAAAGAGGGAAGTGCAAAGAGCATCAACGCTAACCTTGACAATCCCAACTAGGTTGGCACCGCTAAGGAAGCACAATCATTTGCAAGCACTAACCCAAAGATTGGTGAGAAACAATCAAGAGTAACAAAAAAAAAAAAAAAAAAGCAAACAATAAAAGAGAACAACATAAGACAACATACACCGGCACCAAATCCTTGAGTAGACTAGCCACATAGATCAGCAGCATGCTCCACCCCCAACAAACTCCTCCAGTACTCATAATCAAAACACCAGCAAGCTCCTTGCACCAGCAACATACACTAAGTAATTAACACCCTGGTAGCAACAAACAACCCCCACAATTTCATCATCAGCAGAACCAAAACAGAACCCATACATAACAACTTGAATTTGATGCCACTATTTTAGTATAATGCATATTTTTAAAACTTCTACTCATATCCATCCTTCTTGCCTTATTCCATCCTTCAATCAGAAACAAATTAGACAGGACTTTCATTCCCACAAAAGACCAGCGGTCCACTATTAAACATCAAAGCATACCACAAGGACAGGACCACAAGAGCATAACAAGGAAAACAACAGCAGAGCAACCTCAGTTCAGCCACTCCTTCACAACCTGCTAGTTCACCTTAATTCAATGTAATACTCTACTACACAGCAGAACAACATCTACTTGAATGCCTAATTGGCTTAGATTTGATTTTATTCCTGGTCCCAACCAAAATGATTCCAAATGATAGACAAGTTGTTAAAGATATGAAAGGAACCATTTTCATAGAACAAAACCAGATCACTGCTACACCCTGGACCTCAAGTCATCCCTATAACCACTGGAGCACTCTTGCTATTTTTCCTTGGTGTAGAGACAAAGTATAATAACCAAATCTGGCCAGCAGCATTAACTGCACTTCTGGACTGTACAGCAGCAAATATACTTTCAGCTTCTCCACCAACTGACAATACACACCCAAAGACCCTGTAGCCCTGAACTCCACCCAACAAACTCTATAAGGCAACATGTCCCTCCATCTGCATCATCCAATTAGCCATAAAAAGCCAATAACTTATAATTAGTAGCAAATCTGACATAAGTTGAAAATAATATCAGACACAGAGTAAGGGAAGTTCTTCAGTTTAGCCTTTGCCCAAACAGCCACTCTGAGCTTCACCAAATCTTCCAAATCCACAAAATTAGGTTAAAAATTATTAAATAAGCATTCATTACGTAGTTTCCATATTGACCATAACACAGCCAGAGGCACAATTTTTCTAATCTCCATCGCATTCTTTTGGACCTTAACACCAGCCCACCAACACAACAAGGAATCCACAGACCCAAGAATGACCCAACTCAAACCGCACCAATCCACAATCCCAGACCACACTTTCCAAATACAACTACAATGCAATAGTACATGATTCTGTGACTCTGCCTCATATTTGCGAAGTATGCAGAAAATGTTTGCATCAGGCTTCAACACCCCAATCCTTTGCAAAAAGACAGTAGATTTTATCCTACCTTTCCACGCTAACCATGTCATAAATTGTACCTTCGGAGGAGCGCTATTATTCCAAATGGTCTTAGTAATTATGAGATTAGAAAATGCTCCAGAGAAATGAGCAAACCATGTGCAAGAGTTCTCTACTTGAATTCTTAAACTGGGTGCACCCTGAAGAGACACAACCAAGTTCTGAAGCTCCTCCTCTTCCCAGGCAAAAAGCGATCTTTGGAAAATGAAATTCAATTCATCACCCCCATCTTTTCTTTGGAAAAAATCAAACAATGAACCATCCTTCTCAACTGATAGTGAAAAAAGTCTACGGAAAGCAAGAGATAAACTCTGATCATTAAGCCACTCATCCAACCAAAATTTTATCCTAAGACCACTCCCAACCACAATCCTGAACTCAGACACAAAAAACTCCCTCAAAGATGGATTATTGGAAGCTAAGGACATAATATCCTTCCACAAAATAGACAGCCCCCTTGACTCCACTGTCACTGGACTCCATCTGCCACCACTTTGACCATACTTGCTGCACACCACTTGTTTCCATAGTGCTTTATCGTCCAAACCAAACTTCCACCACCATTTGATTAACATACAGTCATTAACCTCACTGAGCCTCTTCACACCAAGCCCACCTTGGCTTTGATTTTGGCACACCTCCTTCCACTTAACAAGATGTACTTTTCTCTTCACCTCATCACTACCCCAAAGAAAGGTACACTGGATTCTATCTAGCAGCTTAGCAATACCCATAGGCATCTTAAACAAGGATAAAAAGAACAGAGGCAAACCTGATAGAACAGACTTAATCAGCGCTAGCCTTCCAGCAAATGATAAACATTTCCTCTTCCAATGTGCTAACTTCTTTTTGAACTTATCAACAATTGGCTGCCAGGTTCTCCTCCTCTTTGGATTTGAACCTAAAGACATACCCAGATAATTGAATGGCAATTTTTTAGTTAAACAATTCAACTTTTTTGGCAAACTCTTTAACCAAATCATCCTCTACACTAATCCCATAAACTTTGCATTTATGAAAATTGATCTTTAACCCAAACATTACTTCAAAACATCTCAAAATTCTCTTTATTGCAATGATTTCCTCCCAATTGGCTTCGCAAAAAATAATCGTATCATCAGCAAACTGAAGATGAGACAACTTGAGTTCACTATGTCCCACCACAGCTCCTTTGACCAGCCCCAAATCTTTTGCTCTCTCCATTAGAATATTCGTCCCTTCTGCCACTAAATTGAAAAGAAAAGGTGAAAGTGGATCACCTTGCCTCAGCCCTTTATGAGGGGAGAACTCTGAAGTGGGAGACCCATTAACTAGCACAGAGATTCTAGCTGTGGATATGCATGTCTTGATCCAACCCACCCACTTATCATCAAAGCCGAAATTGTACATCATTGAAAACAAAAACCCCAGTTTACGGAATCATAAGCCTTTTTTCGAAATCCAACTTAAGAATAACTCATTTTTCTCTTTGTCTTCTTTCACCAGTCCACCACCTCATTAGCAATTAAAATCCCATCAAATATGCATCTACCACTCAAAAAACCTGATTGGACTTCACTAAGAGCATAGAAAGAACTTGCCTTAGTCTTCGAGAAAAAACTTTTGCTAGGATCATATACACTGAACTTACCAAGCTTATAGGCCTAAAATTAGTCAACCCAATGGGACAATCCTTGTGAGTACAGTGTGCAAATGCCGTGAGCAGTTTATCAGTGCAGAATACAGTGTATGAGTACAGTGTATGAATGAGGTGAGCAGCTTATCAAGTGTTGTGTTGTGCACCAGATTATGTGAAGCAACTTATGAGTATGGTTTGAGGCCGTGATCAGAAGAACATATCGGAATGCTGTAGAGGGCCAGGAGGTCGAAAGTCCGCTACAACATCCCCATCATGGAGGCATTCAGCTCCAAGGACTGCCGGGTATACTCGGAAGAAGCCTGCAAAAGTATCAGATGCATCAGTATTTTGCAGAATATCAAATAAACTGAAATGAAATGCCAATACAAGATGCATAAAATGTAGTAGTACATACCGGAGGCAAGTCATGGAAACCGACCAACTCATGGTCAGCCGGAGGAGGAGCAAAGGGGATCTGGTACGTCGCCCCACCCTGCCCTCAGCATGTCATCATCGGGGGTAGCGCTGGCCAGCTAACCCCCTGACCCCTCCGAGCTCAGCTCCTGCCACAGACACGAGCCGTCCTCGACGTCCCTGCCCCAGCTCCTGCTCCAGCTACTGGCGCTCGAATTCATGCGAGGTGTATCCTTTCCGTATCCTTTTGGCTTTTACAAAACTCAAAAGTTGCCCCATGTGCATCACATGTCAATCGCACTGTCTTGTACATTTCAAATCAATCGCACTGTCTTGTGCATTTCAAATCAATCGCACTGTCTTGTGCACTCGTGTTGTCTAAACGCATCGCGCTGTTTTGCGCATCTCATTGCATTTTGCATGCATTCCATCGTGCTATCTTGCGCATCGCACTGTCTTGTGCACTCGCGTTGTCTAACGCATCGCACTGTTTTGTGCATCTGATTGCATTTTGCATGCATTCCATCGTGCTATCTTGCGCATCACACTGTCTTGTGCACTCGCGTTGTCTAACGCATCGCGCTATTTTGCGCATCTCATTGCATTTTGCATGCATTCCATCGTGCTATCTTGTGCATCGCACTGTCTTGTGCACTCGCGTTGTCTAACGCATCGCACTGTTTTGCGCATCTGATTGCATTTTGCATGCATTCCATCGTGCTATCTTGCGCATCACACTGTCTTGTGCACTCGCGTTGTCTAACGCATCGCGCTATTTTGCGCATCTCATTGCATTTTGCATGCATTCAATCGCGCTATTTTGCACATCTCATTGCATTTTGCATGCATTCAATCGCTCGTGCTATCTTGCGCATCGCACTGTCTTGTGCACTCGCGTTGTCTAACGCATCGCGCTGTTTTGCGCATCTCATTGCATTTTGCATGCATTCCACCGCGCTATCTTGCGCATCGCACTGTCTTGTGCACTCGCGTTGTCTAACGCATCGCACTGTTTTGCGTATCTTAATGCATTTTGCATGCATTCAATCGCGCTATTTTGCGCATCTCATTGCATTTTGCATGCATTCAATCGCGCTATTTTGCGCATCTCATTGCATTTTGCATGCATTCAATCGTGCTATTTTGCGCATCACATCGTCCTCTATATACGACGGTCTAGGAGACCTTAAATCCTCGAAAGGTGCAAGACCTTTAGTGCATTGATGTGCACAGTCCATTTACATTATCATGTATTTCAATAACCGCGCGTTGCCGCACATTTAAAGTTCATGCATTATCATGCGTCCTACGCCGCGCGCTGTCGCGTATTTCGAAAAAGCAACATGCATCATTGTAAATACTGCATATGTCATGCATTACATTGTAAATAATGCATATATCATGCATCATTGTAGATAGTGCATACGTCGTGCATTATTGTATATAATGCATATGTCATGCATTTCACCGTAATATAATGCATATGTCATGTGTTTCCACTGTAAATATTCCATTCCATTGCATATTTGTAAATAGTGCATTGTAGTTTGCATGCATTCACCGCATCACTTCCATCTAGGGCTTTCGCCTTTCCATTTTGAGCTTGGTCTGGTATGTGCCCATACTTTTTACCTCTATACACTCATAGTTCTGTATGACCGTTCTATGTTAGACGTGGTTTGTGTGTGTCCATGCCTTTCCTAGGCAAGATTTGGTTTGGCCCGCACACCATATCCATCATATATATTACATTGTAGTGTAATTTTTGCATCCAACATTAGGATCATTCGTCTTTCTTCAGCGGGTCATTTCCCCACCAATGTCATCCCACCCAATTATTTGTTCTTGTGTCCGTCTACATCACTCATAGTTTTGTGTGACCTTTTCTATGGTAGACGGACTTGTTACCTCCATCAATCTATTTGACATTCGTGTGGTTTTGAACCACTCATGATTGGATCATGATTTAATTATATTGCATTTTCTTTTGCATTATTGTACATAGTTTTGTATATATTACATATCATTTTGCATTCATTTTGCATGTTATGCATGGTGCTAACGATATCATACCTGTTAAGTTTTCTTTCTCTTTCAGGCACGATATTGTATGCACGGTTCATTTGAGGCTGGTGCAACCAGACGAGCCGGACAGGTATTGTATTCTCCGCGTGAAATGTAGCAAGAATTACATAATTCTCTTACATCCTTTCTGCATTGTAGTGTAGTTGGATTCATGTTAGACTGCTTAAAACTGTTGCATTTATTGTATGTATATGCTTCGTTGCAGCTTTCTTTGCATGATCATAAGTTATGCTCGGCTTTTTGCATTGTTAGTTGCATTTTGCCCTTGCCTTCGGGCGCATATCTTTATTTGAAGCTTGTATGCATTGTCTAAGTCTTTGGCCTTGTCAAAAATGGGCCGTCTCTGGCTTTGACACTCACTCCCGTCATTGTTATGACTTTCGAGTTCTGTCAAAGAGGGGCAACTGTAGACACCCCATTTTTGACCGTCCTCAAGACTTGGACGTCTCAG